CTTATACACCTCTTCTGAATAAGTCGTCACAAAGATTTCTGGAGCCCAGGGATCTTGAGCAGATCGTTATTTGTGAAAAGCTGCCAAGGGAATGTCAGGAGTTACCCAGCACAAATGCACACAGATGCTGAGTCACACTTCTTGTGTTTATATTACAGAGCCCAGATGGAAAATACTTGGCCAGTGGAGCAATAGATGGAATCATCAATATTTTTGACATTGCAACTGGAAAACTCCTGCACACGCTCGAAGGTAATGGTTTGGTATTGGCAATCCCCGAGTTCTGGCCTCGTTCCTCAACAAAATTAAAAGATACAGTGCAAGTCAGAATGAGCTACAACAGCCATGGCATAAATGAGTTGATGTTTTTGTCCATTAGACAGTATTTAGTTACTTAATGTGCTCTAACTTCAACCACTTAAAATGTTAGAGGCAAACTGTAAACTCGGGCTTGCATCATAAAACCCTTTCAAAAGACACAGTCGGTGATGCCTCACTAAATTCTTAAATTGTAGTTCCTTGCATTGCAGAGGGAAACAAGCTAAGCCAAATGTGTGCTGCCAGGCTATGATTTTCCTCATGGTATCAGTTCTGTAGCAATTTATTGCTGTTCTAAAAAATAACTGAACACTTTATGTGGTAGAAGACGTGCATTTTCCTAACAGAGTAAATGGGCTTCTAACGTTCATGTGGTTTCTGCCCAGTTTAGTTCCTCAAAAACCCAACCACTTCAATATGAAATCATCCTAGAAAATATGACATAATTTCTAATAAAGACCCACAGCTGAAAAAAAAATGAGATACTCTTGTGTTGCAGATGCCTTCAAAGTTGGGAATGGCTGTCCCTTTCCTTTTTGTGTTGTGGGGAGAGGCCTGCAGAGGTTGAACAGGGGGTGCTGTGTGGTGTAGCTGTCCTGAGTCAGAGCAGTGGCTGCATTGTGAGCCCCTGCCTCTCTGAATTGCAGGTCATGCCATGCCCATTCGTTCCCTGACGTTCTCCCCCGACTCTCAGTTGCTGGTCACGGCCTCAGACGATGGATATATCAAAATCTACGACGTGTAAGTTGGGCTCTGCCAGGTGTGCTCACAGGAGAGCAGCTTTGACAGAGGCTGAGACTGCAAAAAACAGACCCTCTGCTCTCTGTAATTCCCTTCAGCTTTTGGTGACTTCTTTATGTGACAAATAACCTTAAATCATAACATGCTGCTACATCCTCAGCTAGTTTTTAAAATGCATAGGTAGGTGAGAGCCATAACTTGGAAACAAATTACTTTCCTCATATTTGCCCTGTAGGGACCAGGCTGGTTGTTTTGTGTATCTGTCTGTGAGTTTGTGTTCACCCTCCTTACACATCTGCTCTGTACCCAAGAAATTACATTTGTGACCTATTTCTGTGCAAAACCTTTGAAGACCCTGGGGAGGAAAAGGCTCTGCTTCAGTGATCTTCACTCCCTAAACCTTCATTGCTTCGACCTCTTCATGGTGAAACTATTTTGTCCTCCGATGTATCTTCTTGGTGACTGATTTGTATGTTGTTTGAAAAGCAGGATGTGTGGTAACACCAGTTCAGCTTGGCTGAACAAGTGTCCAGAGGTCACCTTCTGTTGAACCATTCCTGACTGCTCTAGCTCGAGGATATTCCTGTAGCTTTTTCCCCTGGAATCCACAAACCAAATGTTCAAATCTGTTCTTTCCACAGGCAACATGCAAACTTGGCTGGCACGTTAAGTGGTCATGGATCCTGGGTTTTAAATGTAGCATTTTGTCCTGATGACACCCATTTTGTTTCCAGGTATTGAGGACTTTTAACTTGTTTATGCTCACTGAAAAAAAAAAATATGGTTTTATGTTTGTAAAGGGAGATGGATCATAAAAAGTAAATGTTTACAAATTGCAGTGGGATCTATAATGGAATAAAACACAGTAAAAGACTCAGGAGCCAATACCAGTTGTAGTGAATAGTATTTTATAGTATGTCATCTCACTGCAGTGCAGTTCCCTACAAGTGAAAGACACCTGAGAAGGGCAGTTTAATTCTTAATAGCTGAAAAATTGCTGTTGAATTAAAAAGTGCAGCCAAAGGTAGTAGTACATTAATCTACCTGAACTGTAATGTTAATTCTTAAAGCAGCTCAGGCAGCTGGGGGCCAAGTGGAGGGAACAGAAGTTTCCTTATCCCAAGAACTTGCCTGAAAGAATTTTTTTGGCCAAAATGGGAGTCTTCATTTTCACATTGCAGGTATTGGAACAGTAAATGTAATTTAAAGGTGACTGGGACCTGGCAGAAGATGCTCTCCTTTGCTACTTCATCCCTGTGTTAGAGGGGTGAAAGAGGGTTCCTTGTGCCTACCACGGAGACCTTTTAGTGTTTGCATTAAACTGTAGTTACTTTATTACTTTAAATATTGATCAGCATTATTTTTCTTTCAGTTCATCTGATAAAAGTGTAAAAGTTTGGGATGCTGGGACAAGGACCTGCGTTCACACCTTCTTTGACCACCAGGACCAGGTATGGCTGTGACTCCCTGGGTCACTGTTCCCAGGAGGACTTGAGTTGTTAAGAGTTGTGCACATTTGTGCTTCCCTCTGGGGCTGCAGCTTTGGGCTGCAGTAATGCAGGAACTTAGAAGTGTTTGTGATTATTTGTCCCTTAATATTGACCTAATACTGCAAGTGTGTAGGTTGATCTCTTCCAAGTAATTAACATTTTTCAGGCTCAAATAAGGGCAATTCTGAGTGGCCAGGAGTCTTTCCAGGCTGTATTTGTTACCTTTGGCTGTAGTCTTGTTTCTGTCACTTGTACACCATGGGCCTGTGTAAGGGGGGAAATGCTTATTTAAAAGGATGGAATTATCTAAGCAGTGCTTGAAAGCAGCCTTGAAACTTGGGACTTCTTCCTTTCCAAATGTCTGTAACACTGTGGGATTTTTAAAATTTATTGCTCAATTAATAGATGTTTGTTTATTAATAAATAATTGTTAATATTTATTAATATTATTATTAATAAACCTGAGAGGGGAGAAGTTAGGTTTCTACCATTTACTCTTTGTCCAAATGTTAGGTGATAAAATAGAAAAATGCTGTATTTTAATGGATCACTGAGCAAGACTTAACAAAGGGAATTATTCCAGATTTTATTTGAGCTCTTTCTTCCACAGTAGTTTTTTGCTGACGACCTTCTTTTCAGTTACCTACAGCTGTGGGAGTTTTAATATGAAACTACCCAGTGGAATTTGATTTCCCCTGTTGTTTTAGCTGGTATCTGCAATCTCAGGAAGTTTGGGGCAGGCAGAGTTGTTGGGAAGGCTGGGTTTTGGCATTAATGCAAGAGAGTGCACAAAATTGCCCCAAATACCCTGTTATCAGTACCCCCACTGTGCAATCCCACGGGGATGTGCTGGGTCCCTTCATCTCCCTCATGTCCCTTCAGAGTGTGTGTAACTGTCTGGAATCAGAGGACTGACCTGAATTCTGCCAAGTTTTGCATTGCTAGGGAAATGTCTCCCTCAAATAGCCAAGGATAAACCAGATTATTCTTCAGCCCCTCAGGATGGTCAGTCTGCATGAAGAACACTTCCTGTTTCCTGCACTGTAAAATACTATTTTCAGAAAGGGCCACAGCGTGGGCAAGAGTGAAAATGCTGGGGTTGATTTAGGCAACTTTCCAGCCTTTTTCAAGTATCTTTAGATTGTGTGATCCATTGTCATGGGCTGTAGGAGCTTGTCATGCTCCTAGATGGCAGTGTCCCTCTGTGGTCCATCAGCCTCACCTGCTGGGAAAGCAGAAACCAGAACTGCACCACCAGCTCTGTTAAAGAATTTTAAATAATCCTCCCTCTTCTGCTTGTTGTAATAAATAAAACTGCCACCAAGACGTTCTTTGTCCTCTGTTGATAACCTTGTGTATCTTATTTGCAGGTTTGGGGAGTGAAATACAACGGAAGTGGGTCCAAAATTGTATCTGTTGGAGATGACCAAGAAATCCATATTTATGACTGTCCAGTTTAGATGTCTTGACTCAGACCCTCTGGTGAACTCCTGGGGCAGTTTCAAGGACTGCTCCTGCCCTCTGTAATTTTTTAGTATGATAAAACCATTTCATACTGACCTGCAAACCCAGATATGTTTATATCCAATTCTGATTTTGTTTAGCATGAGAGAAAAGCCTTACTTTTTTAAAATAAAAGCTATGGATGCAAGTCCTCGTGTCTAATCCTTGGAAAAATGTATTTTTGGAAATACACAGTCATGGGTGAAGTAACTGCTCAGTTAATCTCCCCTGCCTTTCTACATAAATAGACTGGAGCTGGAGAGCATTGGCCAAGTCTTATTTTAGCAGAATAAATGGGCTGAGCTGGGGTGGAGGAGTGGGGAATGACAGCCTGGGCTCATCCTGATGCTGTCCCAGGGACTCAGCAATTGTGGGGCACACTGAGCTCACTCACCCTGGTTTAACTGCCCCAAAAGGTGCCAGTTGTTTCCAACCCTCACTTAATACAAACACTGCTGGAAAACAGGTATAAAAAGCTTTAATGTGATCATGGCACTGTGGGACCTGGTCATGTTATAAAACAGCAGCACTGCACCCAAAGCCTGGGGTTTTGGTTTATTCATCTTAGTTAAGGCACAAGTACACAATGCCTGGGAAAAACCTTTCTAGGGAAGGCTGAAATACAAAGCTGGAGCTTCTGAAAGGTCAAAATTTTATTGGAAGTATTTGCCTGTATGTAACACAGCAGAGGACAGCTTGTAACCTTGAGTCACACTTAAGAGAGAAGCAGCTGAAGGAAGGCTACTGTAAAGCCAGGGGAACACAGGGCAGAAGGGGAGGAGGTAGGGAGGGGGCATGCACAGAATGCTCCTGAAATACAGAGTGAGACAGGTACTCGTGGTGCAGCTACCCTGGACAATGAGCTACACTAGGGGAGAGGAGTCAGAGCTTAGAAAAACTTCCTTAAGTAAAGGGGGCTCAAGAGTGGCTCAGAAAGTACAAGAGAAGCACGAGAAAATGTGAAGTACTATTTATTAGAAGTTATTCTGCTATGTTTTATTCTATGAAATTAATTTTCCAGTATGAAAGTATTTACATAAGACACTCCACTTAGCCTCTATCCATATTGCCCAAGTCTTAGAAATAGCAGAGGTGAAATAAATTGAGAACCTTCACAGCAAGGAAAATGTTTACCAACTCAGCTGGCTCTCAGCTGTGTGACATTGGCTTTATATAGAAAGACTACAAGAACACAATATAAATTAGTTACAAAAAGGTGATACCGACAGCGCAGCAACTCAATTTGCTGAACACAAAAACCACAAGCAGTGGCTATTACAGCCATGCAGTTTTCATTGTGAAAATTTACATGGTAGATGACATCCCCTCCACCTTGCTTTAAGATGTCTGACATTGTACTCCTGTTCTTGGACCCTCCTCATCCTCCTCGTACGCCTCGCCCGCGCTGTTCCGGTAGGTTTGCTCGTTGGGATCAAAATCCTCAAGGTCCACCTGATCCATGTCGTCTGTGACCATCACATCTTCTCGGGAAGGAAGCAGAGCTTCCAGCAGAGACAGCTTCTCCCGAGGGAGCCAGTAGTGCTCTGGAAACTGGACCTACAATTGTGCATATTTTTAATGAAGTTCCCACCCCTGGTGCAAACACGAGCGTCGTGGCTGCAGCTGAGTACTTAACTTACCAAGAACTGGATAATTAGGCTGCCTTTGTCCATTGGAGATTTGTAGACGGGCATCCCTTCGTTGTAGATACACTTCAGGTCACCGTGTTTGATCACCTCACCTGCAGGGAGGCAGGAGTTGGGAGTGAGCTTGTGTGATGTGACAGCCCCTTCACAGCCACCCAGAGCAGGGCTGTGCACAGGCAGTGTTGTCACAGCCCCTCAGGGACAGTCCAAGCAGCTCACAGAAAGAATGCAGACTGAGAAACACTAAACCCAAGACATTTGGGCAGTTTTCTCGAAGAGCAATCAGCTTTTCTTGGCACAGCCTTCAGTCTGAATGAACAGATAATTTAAGATTCTCGCCTCTAATATTTTCCTGGCTATTCACCAGCCGAGGCTGAGGTTTATTAAGCAGCATTTGACAGCTTTAGCTGTAACTCTGCATGTTGTAGAAGGAGTGACAAGAACAACAAAGAACCAACTAAATGAAATTACTGCCCAGTGTAGTTTGAATCTGTCGCATCACCTGGTTAGAAAAAAACAACCCAAACCAAACCATCTCCCCAAAAAACTCCAGTCCAGACACAATGAGACAGGCAAGCAGTTGATACAGCTTATATACAGAATTAGAACTCTAAGACCTACCTGGCCTAGATGTTATGACAAGGACTCTGTTATCCAGAGTTTCAATGGTCTTTTTGAAACCACATAAAGCCTCTGAGAGTTGAATTCTCATTTTTGTGATTAAGTCATGCCCTCGTCTCTGAAAGACACTGTGATCCTTTTGATCCAGCACAATTATAACATCTCCAGGCTCCAAATCAGGTTCCTGGTCACCTTCTCCATGAAACACTATCTTCTGACCATCTTTCATACCTGGGGAAGAGAAACCCATTTATTCTCAGCAGAACTAAGTGCAGGCTGAGATCAGGGACACGGCACAAACACACAGTCCTTACCTTTATCAACATGGACTTCTATGATCTTTTTCTCTCTCACCACCTTACAGCCATTGCAGTTGTCACACCTGTCCTTGGGATTTATTCTTTCCCCTTGGCCTTTGCATTCTGGACACACAGTTTGGATTTGCTGTACCATGCCAGGTCCGATCTGCTGGACTATGACTTGCATTCCTCTTCCTTTGCACACAGGACATTTTTCTACTGCCCCTCTCTTTCCACCATAACCTTGGACAAAAGAGTTAGACTGGATCTCAGTCTCAGGAACAGTTACTCTGCAGCAGTCAGGCTGGAACCCACTGACTGCAAGAGCATCTTTAGGGTAACTTAAGAGTAGTTCAGTAATGAAGTTTAGTTGCCATCACCAAAAACATGCCCTACAAGCTGGAAGCTTCAAGCAAAATGCTTGTACAGCTTATTGTATTAGCTCTGCCCCACCTCCCAGGAAATCCTGGTTTCCAAGGAACTACCAGCATACTAAATTCAAGACCCAGACATTCCAGTAATAACTGGAAAAGAATCTGCTTGCTAAATATTGAACTGAGTACTAAGATACAAGACCTTATTAAGATTTACCTCAAAAGAGACCAGTCATTTTGGATACTTAGTAACTGTAAAGTGAGTTGCATAACACAAGCTAGACTCCTACCCACAGCAATAGAAAAAGGTTTTACAGAGCAGACATTTCCATTCAAGTTCTGGATGAAGATCCTTTTAATTTAGGTCCCTCTAACTACAACTCAGAAAGTTTTAGTCTGCCATCAGAACAATCACTTTATACCACTGGGTTTGAGAGGCTTGTTCTAAATAACCTGGCAGACTCTTAGGGAGGAGAGGGGAAAAGAAAAAGGAGAGGGGAAAGTAAGAAAACCTCCACACTTTATTCTCAGCCCCAGACAACCCCCCACACACAGAAAAATCCCCTGAAGTAAGAGGGGTTTGAAACCATTACTTGCTTTTTTTTTTACCTTCACACTTTGCACAAATAACATTCTTTTGCAGTGCCAGTTTCCTTGTAATACCATTATATAAGTCTTCAAGAGAGACACCTAACTGGTGCACAACATTTTTGCCTTTAAAAAAACAGAAGGGAAAGGTTAATACTTGTTCAGCTGTTGGGAAGACAAATGTTCATGCACAGTCTCACTGAAGAAATGCAAACTTCATTCCAAACTCTGAACACAGCTCAGCCCCCTTAAAAGCATGTGCAGTTCCATCAGCTTCCACTAAGCTGCACCCATTTATATCCAAACATAAAAGTTGAGCTGTAATTAAGCAAAGCATCATTAAAGCCACCCTATCCCTGCCCCTACTCCTAATTTTATAAGCTTAACTGAAACAGCAAGATGCAAGGACACTACCAGCTTCAGATCTTTGAATTCAGAAGTTGCTGTTATGCCTACCTATGAATTTCCATGCCACTTCATAGCATAATTTCAATGATTTTACAGCAAGTCACTACTTGCTCCTTCAGCAGGCATTGGGCATGGAAAAGACAAAAATCATACTGTGCTTTTGGTAGCACTCTGTGCTCAGTTTCACAGAATTTCTCCCAAATATTTTCATGAGATTTAATGTTACTGAAGTTTAAGTTGATGGTGTCCTTTGAAGCAGGTTGCCCAAAGCATATGAGCAAGTGAGGCACAGATCTGGAAAAAGGTAACTTAAAACAGGTTTAATTCAACTGCTGACCTACTAATATTTCCCCCTCCCCTACAGACTACCCACACCCCCTTTAATAAAAAAAAAAACAAACAGAACTTAGCAGAAAAAGATTGCTATGGCTAAGTTACGTTATCTACTGTATTAGAATCTTAATGCTAGAGTAACTAGAAAAATCATAGTTTACTTATTCTATTGTTGCAACAATATCCACACTATGTGCACTTAGCAGAACAGCAGTACCATAGCACGGTGTTTTATGCTGAAGTGCATGGTTAGAGTTTCTAGAACTTGTTTAGAACTGAGTACCTCTTCTCTCTCTATTCATTCGGCCTCCACCACCAAAGAACATGTCAAAGATGTCCATGGGTGAAGAGAAGCTGCCGCCACTCAGGCCTCCTTCTTTAATAGCCTGCTCCCCACCCTGGTCATAGAGGTCCCTTTTCTTTGGGTCCGACAGAACTTCATATGCCTGGGATATAAGTTTAAACTAAAAAGAAAAAAGAAGCTCTGAACAGCTATGACCAAGAGGAAAAGTAACCCTCTCATATGCAACTCCACCTTCAGACCGAGCCCCTACAGCCCCCTCCTGTAGCATTTGTGTGTTTCCAACAGGAAACTCCTGTAAGGGTACACTTTTGTCCAGGAAACCACCCCCTTTCTCCCTCTCCCCCCTCCTCCCATATTTTAATTGGGCTTAATTCAGAGTCACATCCAACTCAGAAGCATATGCAGACTATGCTTGGATGGCTGTGGCAGTTGTAACCACCACTCTAAGCTCTAAGGAATCCATCGAGAGGGACACGGTGCTGTCCCCCGAGTCCTGCAGGTCCCCAGCTGCTCATGGCCCTGGTGCCAGTCAGCCCTGAGCTACCCAGGGATCCTCCAGGCCTGCTGAGCTGGTACATCCAGCTACAACTAAACAGGGATTGATGTGACCACACACTGGGGCTGCTTACTCATCACAAACACGAGGACTTAGATACGAATCAAAACACCCACTGTATCAAAACAATCAAGGATTTTTTTAACAGCTATAAAGAATTTCCTATTACTAAGGTTACCAACTGAGTTTTTAAACGTAATTTGCTACTACTGAACGACTACTTCCATTTGAAACTTGATTTGCTTATGATCAGGTAAAGTAGTGTAAGCAAAAAAAAAAAAAAGGCATGCCAAGAATAAAAGCAGAAAAGGTTACCTTTGACTACTGTTTAACTTGAGTTCTGTAAGTTAGTATACTAGAGACATAAATCTGGAGTTTCTATTCCTATGTTAAGGTATTATCAGACCAGCTTTTAGATAAACAATCCCATCCACAGTTTTCCATAGTTCTCGACGGTGGTGCCCATTTACCCTCCGGGCCAACACGTGGAGCTGAGATGGTCTGTGCTGAGATCGTGCTTTTGTTGCACACAGTCCACCCACGTGCAGCCCAGCGATCCCCTTGGGATGGTTATTACCTTGTACATCAGCATTAGTATTTTTCCCTAAGGAAAACCCTTCCTGTTCAGGGACACAAACCCACCCAGCACGGCAGTGCTGGCAGCTGGACCCACCACCGGCCTTTGTAACAGCACGGTGGCCACCGGGACACTAAAAACCCTTCCAGCTTTGCCTCTTTTAACCCGCACCTCTGAGGCTGATCTACTGCAACCACGGGGACACTGGGAGGAACCACGTCCAAAAAGAGGAATTCCCGCAACCCCTCCGCCCCGCATGGGCCTCGCAGGCCTGTTCGAGACCTGGGAGCGGGGGAGCCTCCATGTAATGGTGCAGGATTTAAATTACAGCTGCGGGCCCGCTGGATGGAACAACGCCCGCTCCGCGGGGGCGCAACCCCTCCTGCGGCCTAAGAGGCCCGGCCCGACCCCGGCCCTGCCCCTCGCAGGGGCCGCCGCAGCCGCCGGGAGCCGCCGCCGCCTCAGGGCGGGCGGGCGGCCCAGGGACGCCGGCCTAGCCCCAGCCCCGGCCCCGGCCCCGGCCCCGGCCCAGCGTACCCGCTCGCCCTCGCTGGGATTCTTGTCGGGGTGGTATTTCAGCGCCAGCTTGCGGTAGGCGCGCTTGATCTCCTCGGAGGAAGCGTTGGGCTTCACCTGCAGGATGTCGTAGTACTCGGTCTCCTTCACCATGGTGGCTGTGGGTGCCTGCGGGAGGAGGCGCCGCGTTACCCCGCGTTACCCCGAGTCACCCTCGGGTCACCCCCGCGCTCGCCCCGCCCGGCGCCCCGCGGAGGCCGCTCGGGCCGCGCTCACCCCGGTGCCGCCGCCGATCCTGGTGCCGGTGCTGATCCCGGTGCCGCCGCCGATCCTGGTGCCGGTGCTGATCCCGGTGCCGCTCCCGCCGCCCGCTCTGCGCTCCCGGCGCGGCCCCGCCCCCTCCGCGCCCTTTATACGGGCCCCGGCCGAATCTTCTGGAATGACGCCGCGCGTGACGTCACGGCTGGAACGGTCTGGAACGGTCGCGCGTGACGTCACCGGCGGCGCGCGCCGGGGAGGAGCGTGGGGCGGGGCCCGGGGCCGAGTCTGAGGCCGAGTGTCGGTCGGAGGCTGGGGCTGGGGCTCGGGGTTTAATTTGAGATTTTAGAATCAAGAACCCTGAATATCCTTAATCCCACAGTCTGCACAGCTGAGCTGACGGGACGGGCCTGGCTTTCCCACAGCACGGTTAACACACAAACCTGTACACGGGCAGTGCACTGAGGAGCAGTTTGCCCCTCAGCATGAGCTGTGAACTAACAGCCAGGCTAACGTGATAATGCAGGCCTGTTCTTACCTCTTCTTTATACGTAATACATAGAAACACAGTGAAAACTTATATTTCACTATGTACATGTAGTGAAAGTTTCAACATCGTAAATGTGTTAAACGGAGGCTTTAGATAGGCTTTTTCACTAGGGTTAAAATGTGACTATGGAATTCAAAATATATTTTAAAAAACCCTTATTCTTTACGTTTGTATTGTAGAAACAATCACTTCTGCCTAGGCCAGAAATCTTCCATCTGTGCCAGCTTTAGACAGACCTAAAATCGGGCGGGCCCGGCTGGGGCTGAGGGGGCTCCTCCTGAGGGAGGGACGCGCTGGGGCCACTCCCGCAAACCCCGCGGCCCTGAGGGGCCAGTTCGTGGCAGCCGCCTCAGCCGGCGGCGCTTTCCCTCCCTTCCCCGTGGAATCCATTAATTCCCGTCAGGCAGAGCCCGGCGAGCACCCTGGTACGAACTGCCCCGCGCTGGGCGGCGGGTGCTGGCTGGGCACTAGATCTGGTTAATTAGTAGGTTGTGCTCCTGACGCCTTGTTCCTCAGGATTTGGGGCCTTTTAAATTAACTGGGCTGTGCCCCTGCTCTGTGTCTGTTACTCGCCCTTTCCTCAAGCTGGCCTGCGGAGAGCAGGCTCGGAAGCTGGGGTAGTTTTCCTTCCTCTTTCTCCAGGCAACCAGAGGTCCCCAGTTAATTATTTACTGCTCAGGGAAAAGGAGAGTACTGGTGCTGGTGTGGGACCTGAGCAAAAGCATGTTTTTGTAGAAGATGGCAACTTAATGCTGAAAAATACAGAAAAGCTGTATGAACTGAGAACAGATTTTGTTTAAAATTGAGCTGAGTAGAAGTGCTTACGAGCCACTTCTTTTTTATTCCAGGAAACAGCTCTTCATTCCTGGGAACAGTTTTTTAAAGCCAGAGCATCTCCCCTGGTTATGGTAACCCAAAGGTTGCAGTGCCCTGCCCTGCCAACTCCAGCACAGGTTAGGAGTCAGGGGGACTGGGAAGCAGAGCCCTCCTGTGTTGTCTAACAGTGGGAAATGGAGAAAAAGAAAATGGGGGGGAAAAAAGCAATGTGGGGTCTGAATGAAAATTTGTCATAATTTAAAGCTCTGGTGCTGTTATAATGAACTTCCTGTCGTGTTTCAGGTAAACCCTATTAGAAGATTGAATTAGTGCAACCTGCTTGTATTAAACGTGTGAACGTACTGAAGAAGGGGGAGCTAATTACAGGAGAACAACCCAAAATATCAGTGAAAGGAACAGTTCAAAACCACAAGAAAGAAATCAGTGTTGGTAACTATTATTTTCTCCAAGCATAAATATCAGCAGCTGAACATGTAAATTTGTGTTTTGCAACTGTGAAATTATAGTGACAAGCAAATACAGAAATTATTTTCTAAAATAACTATGGTAGGTTACTCTGTAAACTTGTCAGCTGAGAACAATATATCTCTTTTTTAAGGGAAAAAGAAGGTTTATTCTAGTAATGGTCTTTACCTTAAAGATAAATTCACCATAATCCTGTAGTCCTGAACGTAATATTTCTATTTAAGAAGAAGTGATAGATCTGTTACTAGCTTTGCAGTAGCTGAATATTTCAGCAGATGAGAAGCTTTTAAAGCACATATTGAATCTTAGAGCTCAATTTATAATATGTTGTAAAAAGACAGTATATAATTTCTGTGAGTAGAAATCCTTGCGTAGGCATGTGTAGCTATTGGTAAATAGAATAAGAACTCAGACTGGTGGGTGGTTTCTTACTGTTAACATTTGTTACTAGTAGTAACAGCCAAAACTTGGCTGGTATGGATCTTTGCTTAAGGGCATTGAGCCTCCTGCTTCGTTTACTTTCCTTTTATTAGAGAGAGCTATCAGGTTACACTGACTTTGAAATTCAAGATTTGTTTTCTCCATCTCTGGTTCCAGTTGATGCAACTAAAGTCCTTATTTATTCAAAGAATTAGTGGGAAAAGTAGTAAGGGTTGGTGTTTTGGATTAGAAAAATAGGAGAGAGAGCAGTCCATGGGTATCCTTTGCATCATCATGTGCCTTTACAATGCAGACACATTTCTCAGCCCTTACAGTGCTGGTTCCTTTACTCAACCAACCTGGTGTATCTGTACCCAATTCTGTTTCTTTTTGCTACACACTTTGCCTCCTTAACTCTGTGGTTGCTAACCAGCAGTTGCTTACCTACTTTTCAGATGAACAGCTGATTTCTTTCACTGCTCTTTCCCTTTCTTTCCCTCCTGCCACATGTAACATCAATCGCCGCGTCACTTTTTACTTGCCCGGGGTCAAATTTGTGTGTAGGTGTAAGCAGGAAAACAAGCAGAGAATTTCTGTGCTCTGCAAGGAGGCAGGACTGGCCTGGAAAAGGGGAATAATTAGATCTGCTGCTCATTTCATTTAATTGATTCTGAAATGGGTTCTGTTTGCACAAAACAAGAGTTAAACCACTGCCTCCCCCCTGACCTTGGGAGCATGTGGCATCTTTATATGCTACAAAAATTATACATTTATCTTTTAATCCCTGCTGTATCAAATACTCCCAGAATCTACTTGTTTGCATCTCTTGTCTGTTATCTGGCCAAATTACCATTTCTCCTTATTGTTGAAAGCAGCATCCTGGAGACACAGGTAAGAGGACAATCTGCTGAATTGCAGCTTCTTGCAGCTCCCTTGATTTTTGTAAAGAAGTGCCAAGAATAACTTTTATTACAAACACCTGGAAAAAAAAAATCAGAAATCTGAGGGCTGGAAACTTGTGTCTGTTCTCAGTCACACTAAATTTGTGTAAAGAGCTTCAGTAGTTCCTCAGGAAGGTGAAATTAGAATCACAGCAGACTTTCCTTAGTGTTGAGCTGGATTCTTTCAAGCATCCAAACCTGAACAGGTATCACCATTTCTACAAAGCTGTTAGGAAAACACTCTTGGAATAATATTTTTAACCTATCATATTTAGTCTTATTAAAAATGTACTTTAAAAAGTCAAGTATAACAGTTCCATGTAATGGCCCTTTAACAGTACTGGACCCAGAATTAATATCTGAAAGGGATGTTTTACACAGAAATTCCTTGGGAAAATCGTTTTGCTATAGATGGAGAGTAAAAGATCTGTATCTGCAATAAAATTTAGATGATGGCATTTGCTTTGAGCTATTTCAAGGCAGTGTATAGTGAGTGAGTAGCATCTTTAGAGGATTTTTCTGAGGCAAATTTAATTAAAATTTGCATCAATCTGTAGTAATTAATTTTAATTGCTAGTAATGCAGAAAGAGTAAGAAATACCTGTTTTCATAATGCAATTTTTATTGGTTAGAGGCTGGGCATCTCTAAGTGGTTTGGGCCTGTAGAAAATTTGACTGTGAATATGGCAGGATAAAAGAACACCTATAGGTAAATGTGAAAATACAGCTACTTACTTTGAGTCTAAACCAATCTTTTCCTCAGAAAGAAGGAGCAAAACAGTTTGTGGATGTGCCTGCCCTCAGACCAGCTGTTGTTTTGACCTGATAGGATGTTCTGCCTCTCTCCAGTTGCTCAGAAACAGCTGCCTCTTTCTCCAGATGTGCATTTTCAGCTACTTTCCCCCCTCCCCAGAACCCTCTTCCTTACTTAGTACAAATTGGTAGTTACAGGCAAACCTGAGGTATTTTTTACTGGCACTCAGACTCCAGAAGCTTTGCACCAACTACTGTCTTTTTCTCTGTATTTCTGGGGAACAATTCCCTAGAAAGCAGAATACATCGTCCAGAAAAGCAAAATGAAAATCCTGTTGCTGTGGTGTGGTCAATGAGAGAAAACATTTTTACAGGGAGGTTGCTGGTGGGAATTTGGTGAAATATGAATACATTCAGCTGGCTGTGCTTGTGGGTAGTAGCAAAGGGTTTTGTGGGATAAACTGCTTCACCTGGTGAAGGGACACGAGGCAGTCTCTGTTTTGCCTATGGATGCTGATTTGAGTATGGATAAATTCTCTAGAGTTCTGCAAGTGTAGGGAGACCCAGGTAGGGGGAAAAATTCTCCTTTCTCTAATCTGAATTAGAAATGAATTAGTGTAAAAAACATATGTGAGTTTAAAAAGATTTTGCTTGCCTGGAACTTTTCATTGTGGAATCTGCCCTCAGCATCATATCCTTGGCCCAAAGCAGTGTAAATTGGTTGGTCTTTAAGATGTGGGTTGAGACTCACTTGTTTAGTAAGACTTAAATGGAGGCTTTGCCACAGTAGTGCTTGAAGACACGTTTGGATTTAGTAGTTTTCATAAACCCTGAAACCCGGTCTCATTTAACAGTAACTGTGGAGCTAATTTTGTTTTTATTTTAGCTACAGTGTTTTAGCGGCCAAATTAAATCCTTAATTTTATGAGAAACTGGGAAAAAGAAAGCTCTGTGAATGTATTGTGTGTGAAAGCTGTAAATAATCACAGTAAATGCAGTTAAGAGCCTTTGAGGAACGTAGCAGGCAGAGGGCTGCAATTAGTAGCAAGTTGAAAAGCTGCCAGGCTCTAAGAGAACTGATTGAAAATAATGAAAGAAAGATTAGAAGTGGTGCCATTTTATAAAGAAATGTAACAAGGCCTTTGAAATAGGAAAGGTAAAGGTTATATAGATGTTTTGCTGGTGGCTGTCGTGGGGTGAGGGGTTTGGTTTTCTAGACTCAGTGCTGGAAGACTGGAATAACAATGGGACTGCCAGTTTAATATCCTGATATCATGTTTGTACCGAAAAGCATTGTTTTATACTAAGATATTTGTTACCAGTTACACGACTTAAAAAAAAAAGGAGGGGGGGGCTATCACACGGTTGCTTAAACTGACTGGGATGAACAGCAAGGAGCATCCAGAATTAGGGAACTCCTCCATTCATTTCAAAGAAATACAGGTTTTATGGGGAAACATCCACATTCCCATTCTTGCCTCCCAGGTAAATAGCTGGGGGAGCGCAGAGCTCGGGGAGTGTCATGTTGCCATAGTGGCGTTTGTGAATTAAACCTGAAACATCCTGTCCCAGCCACGCTCCACCCACGCCGGGGCTGCTCGCTGACCTTGGTAACAACGTGGCTTTGTTTGGGCCTCTCCAGTAGTTCTGTGTGGGGTTTTGTGACAGTGCAAGTTTGTGGGGACGGTGTCTTCAACTCTGAGGTATCGGTTGCAAATTTGTGAGAGACACCGATCGTAACCGCAGAGCAGAAGATGTGAACAGTGCAGGAGCTCCGTTTGCCTCTTCTGGTCCTTCACAGCTTCCTGTGCCTGTCAATGCCCAGAAATCTTAACCTGTGGCTGCAAAAAGCAGCCCAGCCCACCACAAAAATTCAGTCTCGTTGCAGCTCATGTGCAGGTAGGTCTAGGCAGAGATTACAAGATCAGAGCATCGTGTAAACTGCAGCATGGAAAAATGATTTGAGGTGAAGGCCTTTCCTGCTGAATTCTACACAAGTTGCCAGCCTCATTTGTTAGGGTTTATTTCTTGAAACTTGAAGGGTGCCTAGGAATGTACCAGAACTACAAAGGCAGATTTTGTGTAGAACTGTTTCTTACAGCTTGAGCCTATTGTTCAAGGGACAGGAGTGTTTGTAGCTGACAACTGCAGGAAACCTAGTTTGTCACAGTCGTGAGTTTTCTGTTACAGTCACGTGATACAGAGTCCAAAAGCAACTCTTCTCCACCAGTTCCCCCCAGTAAATCCCCCTTGCTTCCCCACTTGCCAGCCCTGCAACTACCCTTGTTATGGAGGAAGTGATTTATCATTGAGGAATCCTCAATTGTGTCAAAATACCAACAGTAAGTTTAAGGAAGATTATAGGAAAATCAAGATAAAACAAAAAAATCCTTTCTAAACACAGTGTGTGTAGAAGACATGTATATTTGAGGTTTTCTGTTGATTTGCTGAAAGTACAAGCTCTAGCCATGAGACCAGCTTATTACCTGGCCACTCAACACCCAACGTGCAACCCAAGCAAGGTAACGAGCAGTTGTCTAATTGGATTCCTTCATATAGCGTGTAAAACATTTTAGATTATCAGAAGAATAAAAAAATTAGTTTTCTTGCAACAGTTTTATTATATTACTGCAAATTTGGTTGCAAGCCCAAGGAAGATACCTGAGGCAGCTTCCTGCAAAGAATCATTGGAACAAAGTCAGAGCTTGGAGAATTATCCCAAATTGAAGGAATTAAATCAATCCTGACAAAAATGAATTTTTGCTGCATGAGATGACGCATTTTTACCATTGAAATATCCCCTGTTCTGTGTTTGGGTATTTTCAAAGCAAGTTTCTGCTGTGAGAATAG